CCCCCCCCCCTTCCCCCCAGGGCCGATCTTTTCCCTCGTCAAAATGCCTGTCAGGTTAGGGTTTAGGGTATGGGGCTGGTTTTAGGGTTGGGCTGACTGCTGGACGCGGACCAAGGACCCTGGCCAGGGCGGCCAGCTCGACGTCGAGGATGACGGCCACGATCAATCATTTCTCCCTCGCCTCCTTCTCGACCCGGGCCGGGCTTTGGAGGGCCGGCGGGGGATGACGAGGGGAGCCAGGGGAACCTGTTGGTGCGGGGATCGGACCTGATGGTGCATTTGAAAAATGCGATGAGCCACAGTTGTATCCAGCTCCATATGTCAGCATGAGGTGGCATTACCCAGGAAACCCAGATCTGCACTTCAGTCCATATATCCATATTCAGGGCAATATAGTACATTGCACCACCTGTGTTGACTAGAATACTAGTAGCTTCCGTGCAGGGGGCACGGTGCGTCCCCGTTGCAGATGCGCAAGGAGACGCTAGGACCCCGCATTCCAAGTAATCCAGGCCAGATTCGCCTAGTAAGGCAATACAACAGAACACATGGGTCTCGTCAGTTGTCATGAACACAGACCCACTCGATGCATCTATTGATGCATTGTCCTCGCCACTACAAATCTCGATACTGATTTGCCATTGCTTGTTATACTGCAACTAGTCCTTTTTCCCACACACTTGGTACTAGCTTCAAGGAGAAGGGCAAGCCACCAGAGAGCAAGCCACATGATCATAAGTGAGTCACGCTGAGCATTCAGACCTTGGTGCGTCATCTAAAACATGCCTCAGCATCTCCGTCGCTTGGCCCTCCTGATGGCAAGAATGACAACAGCTCAGACATTGGCCCCAGGGATGTCATGAGCCAACTGGAGCTCAATGTCGAGAGCCTTTTGTATAGCAGACTTCGAGGACTCAGCAACGCGATGCCGGAATCAGTCCCACAAGCAGGCGAGGATGTTCAAGACAGGCTTGCCCAAGCACGTATCCTTGGCAAAGCAAGAAACCTTGAACTTCAAGGCCATATACTCATACAAGGAAGAATTAAGACACTGGCATACTGAGCACTGAGAAGGTGCACTCTCAGACAGCACTTAGGACAGTATTCTGACATTGAATGCAGAGGTCCCTGAAGAGGCCAAGGCTCTCAACTACTTGGCAAGTAGCTATGCAGGCCCCACTGCTAGCACTGACAACTTCGAGGATATGGATGCTGGTCAAGTGAGTGCAGGGCCTATGGATGATCACTTGGGCAGCAAGATTGGTGAAGATGATTGGGTGCTTGAGGATGACTCAAATGAGTGGGCCAGCGACAACTGCTGAGCTTCATTCCAAACCCTGTGGTGACAATACCAGTGTGTCTCATCTTGAAGCAATGGCATCCTAGTCCCTTGATTGACAACTTGCAGGGCATCTGGGCCGAGGGTCTTGCATGCTAGAGACCATGGCCACTACACTGACAAGCTCACCTCAATGGCAAGTTGCTGGCAGTGTGCTGTGCCCACACTAGCCTGTGCATTCCTTGAATGGCAGCACAACCATCATGAATTGGCATGGCCTGTGGACAACAACCTTGATTTGTTGGCAGACTCAGTGACATTGCAGGTCATTACTTGGAAATGTACATCCTACTTTGCACTACCTCTTGGCCACTGCTAACAAGATCTAGCCATTGAAAGCTGAGAATTCCATTGTGAGCATGACAAGGAGGAACTTCTCATTCATCTTGTTCAACAAGGGTTCTTGCCTTGTATGCCCAAACAACCCCAAGTTGCTATATCCCTGGACATCCTGGAAATGCTACATCACTGCTGAGTATGCATGTACATGTTGCACAAGGCTTTTGCTTAGATCCTGTGTGACATCCATTGTGTGAGCTGCCACATCTCTCATCACCTAGACCTGTGCTGAAGTAATGTGATTCAGTGGCCCTACTGTCACTACTTTCAGATCCAGCTTTGCCAGGTGTATGATGTGTGGGTCAAGATCCACCTGCATATTGAATGGCTTGTGAAGCAAGGTCTAGGCCAAGATGCTCCAAATTGGCACCTTCTAAACTCGTGCCCTGCATGCAAGTATTGGGTTTGTGCTGGGGATATTCTCCTTGATGGCTTGACTAACATGTTATGTCTAGTTAAAGGATGAGCCACATCTGCGGTACAGCAAACTAGTTGCTGCCAATGGCAATAATTCTTCCAAGCACTTCCTCTTGGCTGGGCATCAAGATTTCTGAGAATTTGCTAGCAACTACATCTTGAGCCCGGAATTTGTTGATGTCTACAAGGATAACAGTTCGGGCGCTCATATTAAGAAGAAGGTGCATCTGTTCTTCAGACAAGATTCTAATTTGAGCCTCATTTCTCTATGTAGCATGCAGCTTTGGGCTTGGAAGAGGACCCCTAGGCCCATGTAATGAACAGCTCAGCAGACAAGGTCTGCACATCAAAATGGAAAGTGTGGAACACAAAGGATGGGGTCTCAAACTGATTGGGAGCCTTGGATGCAACTGGCAATTTCCTCCTAGCTTGTCATCATGGCCTCATATTGTGGTCTGCAGATATGATACAGTCTGGTGAGCTGTAAGTCAACTTGGCCTCAAGCACATTCCTTCACTAAAGGCTAATACTCAACTAGGTCTAAATACTTGCTGGCTTGCTTGAGCAAGCTGCTGGAAGTATACAGACCTGGCATGGCAATCAGCTATGACATTGGTTGCAAGCATTCCAAGACTGTTGCACATAGCAGCCTTGGCACTCATGCCAAGGCCCTTGGCTTACATTTCTTTGTTGGTGCTTTCCACGGCTATGCTCACAATCAAAAGTGCCAGCTCATGTACCACCCTTGCTTCTTGTGCTTGGCAGGGCTAGAAGATTTTGAGACAAACAAGCACATTTTCTCAAAACAGAATCTAATGGCTCACTTGTTTTGCCATGGCTCATGTTACCATTGTCACATGATCTTGCTTCTCTTCTGGAGTTGGTGGGATGAGGACTGCCAAGTGGCACTTGGTATGTGCACTTTGCTTTGTTCCTCAGCACAGGCAGACACCCACCTCACTGGTAGCAGACTTTATATATGATAACTATCGGCAAGCACTACATATTCTTGCCATGGTGCAGCCAAGTGTCATCAATTTCCAGCACTTGCACCAGCTCTCAGATGAGGACTTTGCTCGGTTCCTGCAAGAGGAGCAAGACTATTTCAACGGGCTCATAGCTGAGCCTGAGGAGGACGTGGTTGCATTTAGATACCTTGAGACTCTGCAGAGCCTTGCCAGTGCTAGGTATGTGCCTCACTTACCATGTTTACTATTATTCCTAACAAGCAAGCAGGCAGAAGCTGTGAGAATCAGGCTTCGATGGCTTTGTCCACACTAGTGCGGAGACATGGCATAGTCTTCCAGGAAGAGAAAAGGCCCACAATCTAGAGTGAGACTACATTGTCTCTATCCAAGCTATTGAGTGCCTTGACCTTCTTGCATGCAAATTTGAGCACATCTTGAAGACAGAGAGATGGACACCTGAATGCATTGAGTGGCAACAAACTGAGCATGACCAGGTGTACCGCAAGTACAACAAGGCACTAGATCTGCTGGAGTCCCTCATGGTGCAGCACTTGTTTGAGTTGGAGAAACTCAACCTCCATGGTACAGGTGAACCATTTTATAATTCAAATCTGCAGCACCTAATCTGATTTCTCTCTAGGCTACAAGATGCAAAGGGCTTTAGGGAAGGCAATACATTGATGTAGTGAGACTATTTGAGTGGCTCTGGCCAAGTACAACCAGCTTGCTGCCCGAATCTCTTGACCCACCTTGACATTGCAAGAAGTCCTAGCATACTCCTAGCTATCTGATTTCTCACTACTCTGATACTCACATGATGACATTCAAGAGTGAGCTTGGACCAATCCCGACATTTGTGCCATGCTAGTTCAGTGGCTTCTTGTACAATGCACAACCAAGGAGATTTGCTGCCTTGATGTAGAAGCTCATCAACTATGGACCACAATACACACTGAGCCTCAAGAAATGATTAAAAAAATCCAAGATGTTGAGAGCTCAGGCAATCTTCTTCTAGCTGCTGAGATGCAGGATGCACTCCATTATTACTGCAGGATTGACTCAGTCCTTGCAGCATGGCTGCTTGACCTCTTCTCCCTTCCCAGGTATTCTGGTGACACCTTGATTGGTGAGTGGTGTTCCCGCCTTCCCAAGCCTATTACTGCCAATGCAGACAAGATAGCGAGAGACTTGGAGGGCTCAAAACCCATCAAGCCCAAACCCTTGGTGGAGGAAGAAGAACTCTATGATCTAGCAGAAGGCAAGGTTGATGACAAGAGCACAGAAGAGTTCGAGTGCATCACCTGTGCACTAGCAATGGTAGCATTGTAGAACATAGTCAGCTGGTGGCTAGGATACCTAAATGGTCTAGATCCCTTGTCTACAGTAGAATCTTGTGTGCTGAATGATGATATATCCTTCTGACTCCTGCTCAAGGTCTGTGCTGTGACTCCTCTGATGAAAGGGTGCATGTACATTTGAGGCCTCGCCTTCTCCACCCAGTATGACACCACCCAGCTTGATGCAATCATCAGAAGCTAGAACATTAGTTAAGAGAGGGCTGCAGGCCATGCACCAAGGCTCAGGCAAAGCAATGAGGGCTGCTAGGGCCTTGCAAGTAAGATGCACCCCATATCTAAAAGTAGGTGTATCTCCACATCTAGAGCATCTAGAGACAAGAAAATAGTTGCATTCAGCTGCGAGAGCTGCATACATGTAGGTGTCAAAAAATCATGAAATTCTAATCTGTAGAGAAAAAATAGTTGTGCAAGGTTGCTTTGATGCTGCAACTTTTACCAGGAACTTGCCCTAGTTCAACGTGTTACAGGTACCTGTATTCCAAAAGCCGCATTTCTCAATGCATCATTTGTCAAATTTCAATTTAAAAAATTGGAACTTCTCAAACACAAGGTTCTTGATGAGGTTCCAATTTTAAAAGGGGTTGTAATCTGTGCATTGGTGGAGAAATGAGGGCGCGTTATCATGGCAAGTATGGGGAGGACCCTGAGCTGAGCATCTCATGCTGTGGGTATAAGATCCTGCATCTCATGCTCCAACTCCCTTTGCCTCTTCCCTCTCTTCCACCACCTTGCTCCCTTGTATCTTGCAAACACCTTCTCATACTTTACAACATTGTCTCAATCAAGATCCTCATGGCAGTTTAACATGTATAACAACAATGACAGTGACAAGGACATCACACAGCCCAACCAAGGCTTGCATCCCTCTCTTCTCCCTGCTCATGAGTATCTAGCACTAGTTGTATGCACATACACCTTGCTGATGGCTCTTGTTCTAGCCCTCAATCCTTTTATGAATCAGTCCCAGCACAGTGTGCAACATCTCATTCTCATCTTCCACATTGCCTTGCTGACTAGACCTTGCAGCAGCTTCTGGCACCTTGACACTGCACAACATGGCCAACCACTCAGCCCCCACAGCCTCGCAGATCACACAGGCCTTGCAGTCCTTGCCTCTTGCTCCTATCAGCAGCTTTGTCAACATCATTCCGGCCCCTGAGGCCCATTGCATTCCTGGACCAGTCACTTTCTTGTTTTCTCTCCTACAAGACAGCATGGTTGCAGAACAAACCATCAGCCCTGGACTCAGTCAATCTCACCCTATGCCTAACACTGCTCAGTGGTCTCAAGATCGTGCTCATGCTGAGGCTGCTCCTCACAACATTGCCAGCACTAGTCAAGATGGACTCAACCTCACTGGGCATGACATCCACCCTTGGCAGGTCAGGATCAATGGCCATCATCAGTGCATGTACTATTCTGAGTACATGCCACAGATGATGGATGTGGTTCATCTCCTCCCTTCATGTTCTTGAGCCTCACAGACTAGCTGCCTAGATGACAATGGGTGATCAAGTTCTTGGTGGACACATTCAACTCTGGATCAATGGCTGCTATGATAATGGACCTAATGCTACACCCTCAGCAGAATTGTTCATGTCTTGCCTCTTGTGGGGCACCAGGTATATGCTGATCATTGAAGGAATAGCTTGCCTTTACCACAAGGTCATGATCCAAGGATTCTCAAATGAGATGACACCACTCTGCAAGGGCCAACAAGCAGAGCAGTCTGGCACGACACAGTGGAGGGGAAGGACCTTGCACCTGAGCTTGGTGACATTTGATCCCCTGCAGTTCTTCTGGTGTCAGAACTTGAACTTGGACTCAATTATGTCACCCAGCAACTCAAGCTTCACACCAGCCTCCTCTCTCTCAGCAGGGGCCTCAACTGGGAACTTGACAGCAACTATGATGAGGAACCAGGCCTGGTTGAGTATGACACTAGGACCTATTCCTCCTCCCCCATCTACTCCAACACCAGCGAGCAAACACTGCACTCATTCAAGGAGCCTCATGCCTATGGCCTCAATGGAGGGCATTCAGTTCACTGGCACTGCTTGCCCTCTGCCCTTGCCATTCCACACTCTGCTCTTGAACTTGAACAATGTGAGGAACTCGGATGGGACAGCCAGCACTAGCAGCCTCTCATTATCCAATTGTCTCACATTGCAGCCTGCCTGCCCAATGTATGGTCATACTTGTCACTCAGCTCCCTCCCTTCCTTGTGCTGTCTGTGATGTCATCAACATGTGGGCCATGCAACTCAGCATCTTCATCAGGCCTCTTGTCCAGGAGATCCTCAACAAACTTGCCAAGATGTATGCATGGGAGCCTCCTAGATTCTGGTGCAATTGTGTGACTCAGCTCTTGAGTGATGCTACCTCCTTGGACATGGTTGATCAAGACCTCCACACTTGGATCACAGCAGTTTTCAATGTACTTTGAGATGACATCTGGCATTTGATGCAGGGCAAGAAGCTCAATGACTATTACAAGGGCAGGGTGAGCTAGATGACTCGGTCTACAATTACATGGATGGCAACACTACACAGTTTATGGCATGGTTACTCAAACTAGGTGGAATCATGGCTAGCAATAATCACTTGGCTTTCCTTCTTGACTCTCATATGCTTGCACAATAAAACAACAAAACAACCAAATCAAGTACAAGTTTATGAATGGCTCAAGGTCTTGCTCTTGTATCAAGACTGTCTACAAAACAAGAAACCTCAAAAAAAGGTAAGGTTTCTACAGCACCACAGGCTTGCAGCTTGTCATCATGATCCTTGCTGTGCTGTCCATGCTCTTTACTTGACTCTCGCTTTCTCAATGTTGTACCACACCTATAATTTTAGTAGGCTAGATTACACAACAACTTGACCCTGCATGTAGTTTTCTAGTGACTAATGGCTTGTAATGGTAATGATGTTGTCTCCCTTACTCTTGTGCCCTATCCCCTAGCAAGATCTTGTTATTGATCATGTGTGTGTGCATCTTGCAACACATGTGCAAGGTCCCATCACGTTTTTGCTTCTTCTGTATTCTGCAGCTTCTACACCCTCTCACCTTCTCAATTCTCACCTTTCTTTTTCCCATGCCATGCATATCTGAGGCAGTGAAGGCATGGTCACACCATTTGACTGTATTGGCCATCATGAGAGACCAACACAGACAAGCTTGTGAAGCTGTCTCAATTCTCTGCTGCAAATTAGAAGACAAGCTAGATGCCCTAGCTGACTGACTCTCCCTCAAGCGAGACATTGTGCAAGGGTATTTCTATGGTCTTGGCATCAAGTGCAAGCACAAAGGTGTCTCGATCTGGAATGCAGCTTGACATGCTCTTGCTGAAGAATGGAAGCATGAAAGTGTGTTGAACTAGGCTTTGCTCTCCCAAGCACTCACTGATGCCTTTGTTCAGAGTGCTCCTTTCAAGTGGTCAGTGACATGGTCTTCAATCAAGCTGTCGCAGACCAAGTCAAGATATACAAGTCAGATGCCATTCTCCTAGCTGCAGCAACTGAGGCAGTTGTTGTCAGCCACAAGAAAGTACAAAACCAAGTGCAACTTCTGGGCATGTTGCACCTAGTTGACACAAACTGCACACAAGATCTCCTGTGAGACAAAGCCCGAGATTTCAACAATTGCACTGGAGGGCATATCTGCAGATTTATTTTTTGAGGCCATCCAGACAACTATGTGGTCCCTGAGTACTTTGGCAGCCAGATCTGCCAAGAATGGTTCAAGCAAGTCCTTGGATTGCCAATAACAGACTTGGGCTTGGAGCTGGAATCTTGGGCACTCAGTGGAGGTGTTTGGCATGAGTCATTTGCTCCAAGCAGCCCCTACAATGTCAGCTCACTAAGCTTCAAGATGCTGCCAAGAAAGCACAGTCACAGGCAACTATTTACAAGCACAAGATCCATGAGATGCTCAATTCCAAGCTCAGTTTGTGGTCATTACCCTTCTTGCTCTCTTGTACTCAGTGATCCACATTGCTAGAATGCATCACAAAGGGCAAGTGCATGAACATGGCATACAAGTGGTTTGGTCAAGATGTTGAGGACAAGTTCAAGATAACTCTTCATGGCTGGCCTCTTGACATGCTAGTGAATCCTTCCAACATTAGGAACATTCCTGAACTGGCCAAGGTGCACAAGGCCCCCAGGGAGGGCAAGTGCTTCTTTTGGTGGATGACACCAGCAGAGCTCGAGAGGTGAGCTGCCATGCATCTTTGAGAGGACAAGGTCCAGGAGCCTCAGCATTGAGAGAGCAAGGGTGGGGTCAATACCCTGCCAAGTGCAATGCCTCACCCAAGAACCAAGTGCCAGAGGATCACAGAGATCCCCCTCATGCTCAACACTGTTGGCTGGGATGCTGTCAACACTCCCCTCTCCATCACGCCTCTCAATGCAAGTGCTGGAAATGATATTGATTTATTGGGGAGGCGACCAAATGGATTACTCTCTCAAGGTTCCTCGGTGCCACATCCTGCCAAGTGGGCAAGAGTCAACACCTACATTGACATGGCAATGCGAGGAGATGAGAATGCTGTGGAGGGCCTCAGCTTGCCTTCTTGTCTTCATGTCTCTGCAGATCTAAATTGCTCAATGCCCTCAGTGCCATCTCTCTCCCCCTTGGGTCCTCGAGTCCTGTTACTAGAGGCTACAATCATGGAGCAAGGAGCACAACACAATGCAGACAATACAAGCATAGGAGTTATTGATCCAGCTTTGTGGTAACAAGAAAGCTAGGCTAGCTAACTAGTAGAATCCATGTATGCATGCTTGCAATCTAGTTTCCTCTTGCCAGCATCAAGAGCCCCTCGGAGGCTGCCTCAGCGCAAGCCCTCTCCACAGACTGCTTCAACTTCCAAGTCTTGAGGCAGTCAAGGGAGGTGGCCTTGTGGGCTTTGAGAGCAGAGCATTTCGCAGTCTTGTAGGCTTGCTGATAGTCTTGCAGTTGCTCTCTGTGGCTAGAAAGAGTCAGCTAGGAGACAATCATACAAAAGGTCAACAGACCTTTGAGCCCACCATCTCTTGGCCTTGATTGTGGTGCTCAGCTTTGCGGGGGCGCAAGGCTGGAGTCCGTGCAGCCCTGTCTCACAATATGTGGTTTGCATGAAGATACACTGCTGCATGGTGTACCAGTTGTCACCTGGCCACAGTGTAGCGAGAGCAGTAGACATGACAATATCCAACAAGTTTGAGATGAGGTGTTGGATGAACAAGTGTGGTATTGAACAGATTACATAGATACAAGGGGGAATGAGTGAAGTGGCCAGCTGTGAGACCCACCCTCATGTTAATGAGACCTTGTGCTCATCATGGGTCTAGTGAATTGGGTAAACAGAGTCACTGGCATGGCTGGATTTGTCTGGATGCTAGGGTCCTTGCATCTCATCATGCTTCTGCGCTAGGGACACAGCACACCCCTGTCCCAAGTTTGCATCTGCCAATGGGTCAACACAGGTGTGTATCTGAGATGAGACAGATCAAAGCCCCAAAATTGTTTGCTGCACTGTATCAATGGAAGAGTAGATAGGCTCCTGAATTAACAACTGTTGTACTGGTTCAATAAAGAATGGATGCATTGTCCTCATCAATTTCAATGTGATGGTGCACAGTGCATCAGACATAACATGAGGTGGGAGCTTTGGAAGCCCAACAGATGGTGTTTACATTTGATCCCATTGTTGTCTGTTTTGACATCACAAACAATTATCTCTTCAAGCTGCTTTGTTCCCAATGCTTGGACTGAAGCATATACATGTGCAGCTGCAAAGTACCGGTCAATCAAGTTTTCTATTTTCTTATTCCATCTCTCCAGAGTTATTGATAAATCTTCCTGACCACTGATCTTCTTACTAGTTCTTGTCCACGGCCCTGAGAGCCAAACAACAAATGGACATCTGGCCAAGGTGATGTCCAATGCAGTGCATGTGTTCTGGATCATCCTTTACTCCTGTCTTCTGGATCTTCATGACTGTTTGTGGGATATTCATTAAGAAGGCACATTGGAAGACAATATCTTTATGTCCCAACTATATATGTCATAACAATGTCTGACCTAGGCATGGAATGGCCATGCCTCCGGTATTGGAATTGTATTGCAAGTCAGCATCCCACTCTCTCCACCCTGACTGTAGAATGTCTGCTTTATCCACAGTTAACCACATGTGATGCATGCCAAAGCTGGTATTTTTTCCAGTTATTCATGCATTTCACTTTCCACAGAGGGTGACTCTGTGGTTGTAGCGCATGCTCAGAATGCTACAGCACTGGCTGCACCCTACAACTTTGACTCATATATGAGCAATTTGGCATGCGAATTGTGATCAAATCTGTGCATCTGCCCCCATTTCCAATCTCTCCACACTCCTTTGCCTGTCTCTTGTCTTGCTGTCCCCTGGTGCGACATGTTGGTGGGCCTGGTTCTAGATGTGACTGATGTAGCCAATGCCTTTGCTACAAGTTACATTGAGGCTGCTGCTATGGTCTGTAAGATACTTCCTGCACATCATCACCACACTGATATTGCTGGTAGACAGCACTCTATATGATCACTTACTCACTCTCTCCGAAGAGGTGAGCCTTTCCCTGTCTCCTTAAACAGGGCATTGACTCTGTGTAAGATTGAGCTCATATGGAAATTGTCATTTTCTCTTGTCAAAATACTATTTCTCATCAATCAGTACTCAGTGCTGGGAGTGATGCTCATACAGACCTGGTGTGCATCCAGTGCATAAACTCAAGATGCTGATTGAGTGAAATACAGCTATGGCAGGGTTTGTGACTGGGCTGAATGATCATGTGCATGCATACAGCTGACACTTGACCAGAGCTGATAGTCAATCAGATGTCAGTTTATAGCCCGTGTTGAAGGGAACACATACTCATCCCCAGCAGCTGTCATGACCTTTTCTTTGCAGTCTCAACCTGGCAACTTATTGCTGGTGGTGGAATATTGCCTTGTATGAGTTTCCAGCTCCAGTCTGTTCCACTGCTCATCTAAACCAGGTTCAGTCCTCCTCTTCCTCCATGTCTGGTCCATCTACAGCTGAACACAGATGGTACAAGTCATTGTAGGTGGGCTGTGCACTGCCAACTTTATAGCAATCCTCATCAGTGCAATCATCAACATCTGGATCCTGTTAGGTACTGCTACCAGATACCCAGAACACATGCTCATAGTGCTTAATAGGGAATATATCCTATGCTCCACAGATTAACCAGTGTGTCTGTATGCAACAGTGTGGTGCTAGTCTATTTCATCCTAAAGCAGCTGCTCACAGTGATACAGCCCAGAATATGTGTGGGTTATCTGGGTCACCCCAGTCTGTTTCTATGTCTTGGCAACCCCATTCTACAATTCATGTTTTGGGGTGATAGTTGATATATGAGACCATTATATTTGGTATGATTGCATACAAGACTTGGACACATCTGCAGGAAGACATCCAGATGCCAATTATCACCATGCTGTGGCAAGATGGTATACTGTATTTCACCGTCCTCATTGGTAAGGGGGAATGTTTCTCCCAGTTGAAGAAGTTGTTAAGGCACTTGATACAGCTGTGTGTTTGTATACTATTCTTGTGTGGATTGTTGCACCAGTTCATTGTTCTCACAGTAACTGAGCATATATTATACTAACCGAATGCAGCCCTCTCTGTTCTTTATGGGAATATAGTGCTCAATTCCTGCTTGATTCCAACATATCAATGACTGACTCACATCACAGCCTCATGCTCACCACCATAACAACCATGGTATTGTGAACAATCCTCCACCTGTGCACTGCTGCAAGCCAGCGGGACAGCAGATACATCACTCCTTCCTGGGTGGCAGAAGAGTTGAGCCTCCTGCCTATGTTTGAGTGGCTTGGCATTCAAGTGATCACTTGGATGGAGGGCATCAATGAGGTTGACAGTGACGCCATTGCATGCAGGGCAATGGGCATCCAGGCAGGCAACCTGGTGCATTTGCAGCCAATGAGCATGCTGTGCAGGGACATTGCCAGCAAGAGGAGGGAGACTGAAGTCATGAGGGACTGAGCTCGATGTGCACTGCATCCATTGGGCAGGGACAGGAGATGCATGCCATGCATTCATCAGCAGGCATGGGGGGCACATGGCGGCAACAGTCAAGATTATGATCCTACCTTCTTGGAACTGAATTTGGCATTGCAAGGTACTGAGGAAAGTGAAGAAGCCCAACTAATTCCTTCTTGCATTCATTGAGAGTTGCTATGCCTTGCATAACTTGGATAAAACTCTCTGAATACACAATGATCCAAACTATTTTCACAAGCGTTAGATGCTCTCAGATGAGCTGGATGCTGCTCCGTGGTGGAGAAGAGCCACAGTAGTACATTTGCTAGACCCAGAAGAATGCACCAGATTTGTGAGATTGTTAGGGCAACACAGGCTGACTAAGTCTGCTCACCTAAGAGTGCCAAGAGTCTAAGCAGGCAACAAGGAAGTGGAGTAGACCTGA